GGCACAACTGTGTGAGTGTACTAGATGTCCCTGGATTATGCACTTTAACGTTACGTGAATTTTAGCTTAGAAAAAAAGCCACCAGAAATGTTGGCAGGGGAGTGCTGGACCCAGTGCTCATTATTCCCAGGCAGGGCTGTGTCCCAAGTGGTACAACACCTGGAACATAGCAGGAGTCAGTCCATGATACATGAAACCACAGATGTGCCAGACCACAGGTTCCCAGATGTGGCCCTTGGTGCTCACTTTGTACTGTGATCCCGCCACAGGTGTCACAAACAACCCTGTGCTCTCTGATGACACTGTGACATTGGACACACAAGCCACGTTGATTTTGCCCATCTGAGAAACAGGGTGCAAGATCACTGGGACACTGCAGTACGAAGGACAGTCTAAGTCCTTAAATGTGTGGCCCATTCAGACAACGGGATAGTACGTGAACAATAAAGAAAGGGGCTACCAAGCCATGAGAAGACATGGAGGAACCTTAAATGCATACTAGTAAGTGAAAGAAGCCAATCTGAAAAGGCGACGCACTGTATGATTTCAACTCTGTGACATTCTGGGAAAGGCAAACTTACGAAGCCAATAAAGAGATCAGTGGTTGCAGGGGCCAGTGGGGAGGGAGGGATAAAAAGGCAACACATAGATTTTCAGGGCAGTGAAAATACTCTGTACGGTATTGAGATGATGGGTCTCATTTGTCCAAATACACAGAATGCACAACACTAAGAATGAACCTGAGTGCAAACTATGGACTTTGGATGACAATGTATGTTCATCAATTATAGCAAATGTAAGGGATGTTGAGAATGGGGGAGGCTGTGCGTGTGCGGGGGTGGGGGGCACATGAGAAATCTCTGTACCTTCTGCTCAGTTTTGCTATGAACCTAAAATTGCTCTAAAAAATAACTTAAAAGGGGGAAAAAAGGTACTTAAATGTGTGAACATTTTCCTAACACTACAGAGAACAGTCTCAAAAGAACTAAATGCATTAGACTACATACTTGGCCATGAATTTTTTTTCTTTCTTTCTTTTTTAAAAATCTTTCCGAGCCTCCGATTGTTTCTTTAAAATTCTTAAGACTGGAAAAAACAAAATACAAAAAAAAAAAAAAAAAAGCCCTCCTGGTTTCTCTCTTTCATCACCCTTGCTGGATTGGCTTTCAACTCACTCACTCACACACTCATGTGCCCATGAGTCGCCTCATGGTAAAAATCTGAGTCATAAACGCAGGCGGTAACTTTACTAGGATCCAAAATGCAAATCAGAATTTTGTTTAAGTAAAATCCCAACGTCTACATCTCCTCCTCAAGTGAGATCTCTGAGCCCAGAAAGTCAGAGAGGATTTTAATATCCCGAACCCGAGAGGCTGCCACTGGGGAGAAAACCGAGGCCAAACTGTGTGTGAGTGTATGAAGCCACGTTTATAAATAGTTCAGGGCCCAAAAGAAGTGTTCTCGGTAGCAACTGGGAAGCCAGTTGTCCCAGAGAAAACATTTTCCTGGGTAATGCTGTGGTCGGCCAGGAATCAGTCATGTGCTGAAACTTGGCTAAAACAGATGCAGTAACTGAATACTTCTTGTTAATGAGACACAAACCAACACTTATGTCCAAGGCCTAGACGGACTAACAGTATATAAGATATACAGCCGTTCTGGGTTTGAGATTGGTAAAAATTCTTCTTTGCGGTCCAAGTAGATATAAAATAAAGCTTTCATTTACTGAATGTGATTCAGTGTTTGTTAAAAAAAAAAAAAAAAACTAACCCCGAAGCCCCCAACAAACAGGGGCAGAACAAAAGAGCCTTTTAATTTCTAAAAATACATGAGTAAGCCCGAGCTTTGAACAATAAAATGGAATGTCTGATGAATACTTCATACTCCAGGCATCTGATGTTATTTTTAAAGTTCCGTAGAATATATATTCTACGGTCCTCAAAATAGGGCTGTTTTGAAGACTGTGCATATGTAATTAATAAAGCTTGAGACCACTTATACGCCACCATCTGAGCAAAACTGCTCAACATGCACGGCCTTCAATTTCATCAAACGAGAGAAAAACACACGATCACAAATGGGTGAGCAGCAATCTTCCAAGACCAGAAGTTAGGCTTTAAATGACAACGTTGCACAAGATGACGTGATTTTCCAGCACCTTCCAAAACGAAGCTTTATCATCAGGTAGCAAAAGAGAGGATGACATTCATATTCCTGGCGAGTTACAATGCCCTCCTTCTAGCATCTCACATCTACCCCCGATCAATTAACAAAGCGCGTTTTGTTCGGCGAATGAATGAGGACGGCTTTCTTCTGTGCATTTTATTAAAACTTGAAAGGCATGGCTCGCTGCCATCACTGACGCCTATTGGGTTCCAACAGCCTAGTGTTCAAATCGGACTCGCTAGCAATCCACCCAGCTCAACATCGGTCATCTTGCCACCGCAGGATATTCAGCAAGTCTGAAGTTTTTTTTTTTAAATCATGAAGGATTTTCCTACTGTTATGGAGCAAATAAAGGTTCTTTGTAGCAACAGCTGGAAACAGGACATGAGACGTTTCTTCACACCATAAGAATTGATAAACAGTTCACAGAGTGAACCAAAGACTTTATTTTTGAAAAGCAGGTAACACCAAAGTACTACGTAGTATCCATAGTCATTGCAAAAATAATTACTGGAACTTTCGAAACATCAAATGAATAAGCTGAATCAATGGTTATGACTCTATCACTTTCAACCAATATACAGATTTTCGATCAAGGTCTAGGCTTGATTTCTACATCGTATTATTCACATGTGCCTATTTATTATCAAAACGGGGACTCCTGAAAGTTGAGCCAGGCTTTGTTCTTGATTTGGAAGATGCCACAGCAGCTAACCGAGAACTCTGGCTCGCTGCTTGAGTCCTAGAAATGTCTCCCAATGTTATACGACAAATTGTATTTCTGAAAAATAAAATCCAGACTTCAGATTCCCTTGAAACAGTCAGGTCCCCAAGCTTTGCAGCACCATGGTACCCAGACGGGCTCAAACACGCTTTTCTTTGTCTTTCCAAACACACCGTTGGGAACTCAAAAGGGGCCCTCCTTTAAGAGTTCAATGATGGAGGTTTTTTAAGAATCACACTAAACCCAAGTAAAGGCAGTGGATAAAATTATCCATTACTTTTTCTGTTACGGGATTAAAAAAAAAAAGCGAGAGTGCATTGGCAAATGGGAAAATGAATACCAGTCACATGGTTACGGACAATGGTATTAAATCCCACCTCTCAAAATTATACTCAGAGGTGTTTATGACCAAAAGGAGGTCACAAAAATTTGTTAATACAAATAATTCCTCTACAAGAAAGAAGCCCTTCGTGGAAAGTGGCTGAGGAGCTGATTCAAAGAAGGCAGATCAGTGGTCAAATCCAGCCTTCTAATTCTAGCCTGCATCGATGACCTCATGGCTATGTGTCTGGTAGGTATGACTAGCCCCTTCTTGTACTTAAAAACAAATCAAGAAATTTGTGTGCTAATTAAAAGCCTGCAGTTACAGAATCTGAGAGCCAAGTCCTTAGTCTATAAGGCAAGATTTTTGTCATCAGAAGTGGGGACAGACGGTAGGCACTAAAGGTTGGTTCAGCCATACTGGAGTCAGAGCAGTCTCAAAAATAAGGCAATCTGGGGCTTCTCAGCTTGAGACCACCAAGAGAAAGGCCCACAGAGGCAAGAAAAGGAGCTGGCCAGAGGCAAATCACCAGAAGATATTCAGACAGGACAAGAATCACAGTTGGATGGGATGACTTGGGGTCACAGGTAGGCAGAAAACCCTTGAACCAGCACTCAAGGAGAATGTCTTTGCATGTCCTGTGCACGACTCCAAGCAGCAATTTCTGGGGTTTGGAGGTGTGTTACTTCTGTGATATTTACCCCCAAAAGAAGACACAAAGGTGGAGCCCCTGGAGAGATGAGACCACCGAGGTGGAGCCGCCACCAGGGGCAGGGCTGGATCAGAGGCAGAAAGGCCTTCCTGCAGCACATGGCTCCCTCCAGGTCCAGCCGAGTCCTACAAACGCTTGTAGGTGCCCAGGAGAGCTTTGCAGTTGGGACAGTAGTGGTCCACATCCTGCAGGGCGTCCACGCAGAAAGGGATGAAGCAGCAGCCCGCTACGCACCTAGGAGAACAAAAAAGATCACACACAGAGTGTGTTACCGACTGTCTGTCATGGTTTGGATGGTAGCCGTCAAAAAGATACGTCGGAGACTTAAGCTCCGGAACCTACGAATGTGACTTTATTGGGAAAAAGGGTCTTGGCAGATGTAATAATGGATCTCGAGAAGGGATCATCCTGGATTATCCGGGGGGGTTCCCTAAACTCAAAGACTGGTGTCCTTATAAGAAGAGTAAAGGACACGCAGAAATACAGGGAGGGACAAAGCCCCTGTAAAGACAGAGGCAGAGATCGGAGTGATGCAGGCACAGCCAAGGAACACCAGGACTACCAGGAACTGGAAGAGGCAAGGAAGGATTCTGCCCTTAGAGCCTTCGGAGGGAGCAGGGCCCCTTGATTTTCGATTTCTGGCCTCCAGAATGGTGAGAAAATAAATTCCTATTGTTTTAAGTCACCAGGTATACGGTAGTTTGTTATGACAGCCCTGGGGAACTAATACACCAACCAAAGCCAGGGCGCTTGCACAGACCGTTCTGGGTGTACTGTCAAGTCTTGGGTCATTTGGGCATCTTTCAAAGTCAGCCTGGAGTCAGTGAACTTCTTTTGTAAAGGGCCAGAGTCCGTATTTTTAGGCTACATGGGTCTTGTTCTGTCATTGGAGCCTGAAAGCAGCCGCAGATAATCCATAAATAAATGGCGCGACGTGTTCCAATAAAACTTAAAAGGGGCTAGATCTGGCCCCTGGGCTGTAGCTGGCTGACTCCTGTCTTGGACCGACCACTTTTCCATATGGAGAGGTTGCTTCTCACAGCAACAACCAAATAAAAGTTCTCCAGATAATGCCTCTTAACCAACAGAGTCCATCATCAGCACACGCAGGCAGGACATCCATACACCCCGAGGTGTAAGAAGAAACATATTTGGTCTTTGTCTCTGGTTCCTGGCACAGAGCTCCAAAACTCCTGGAACTTCCTGAGTGACAGGAGTGTCTTCTGCTATTCACAAGGAGCCCCTTTCAATCACACCTGGCATTTATGCTAATGATGCAACTTGGGTGGGGCTCCTAGACAGACCCAGGATGGGCTGGTCACCCCAGAAAAACCAAGTGACTGGAGGGTTGGAACTTCCAGCCTCAATCACAGACCTCTGGGGTAGACTGAGGGGCCAAGGACTGGGTTATAAAAACTTTTTTTTTTTAAACAATCTTTTATTTGGGGGAAGCGGTGTAATTAGGTTTATTTATTTTATTTATTTTTAGTGGAGGTACAGGGGATTGAACCCAGGACCTCGTGCATGCCAAGCATGCACTCTACTGAGCTACACACACTCCCTTGGGTCGTAAGAACTCTTGAACGACTCTTTGGAGAGCTTCTGGGTTGGTGAACACATTCATGTGCTGGGAGGGTGGTGCAGCCCAGGTCCACGGGGACAGAAGCTCCTGCACTCAGGGTCCATTTGGACCTCACCCTGTGTACCTCTTTATCTAGCTGTCCATTTGTCTCCTTTATAATACCAGTAAACGTTAAGTGAGGTGCCTTCTTGAGTTCTGTGAGCCATTCTAGCATATTATCAAACCTGAGAAGGGGGTAGCAGGACTCCTAATTGGTAGCTGATTGAGCAGAAGTACAGGTAGCCTGAGCCTTGTGCCTGGCACCTGAAGTAGGGGGCAGTCTGTGGGACCGAGCCCTTAAGCGATGGGGTCTGTACCAACTTCAGGTAATTAAGTGTCAGGACTGAACTGAGTCGCTGGACTCCCAGCTGGTGTTGGAGTGTTGGCTGGTGTCAGAAAACATCAACCAATGTTTGCCAGAAACGTAGTTGAAAGTCAACATTTTACAGGAAGACACTGATTTATATAAAGCAGAATCAGGAAGTATCCTGATGAGGAAATAGTCTTGTGAGAGGAATTTCCTATTGCCCAAGCTTACCTGAGTTCAAATAAGGGCAGACAGTGCATTTGGGGATAATCTCAACCTCTGGCTTACCCATGGGTGGGCGTGGCTGCAAGTGCACTGCACACATCACCTACTTTATCCTCAACACACTCCGACTTTATCCTCCCCCACTTCACAGAGAGATGAAGTCACTTGCCCACAGTCACACAGCAGGGAGAGGCAAGATCTGAACACAGTACTACATTTAAAAAAGAAGAGGAGGAAGGAACAGAAAAAGCTGCCAAAAATTTGACAGGCAGAGGCTGACTCTCAATAAAAGTTTCCATTTTCTTTCCCTAATTTGAGATAAAACTTAGTTTCAATAGGAATGTCCAAAGGTAGTAAACTTTTAAAAAATTTTATTATGTTTTAACTTTTTTAATTTAAAATTTTAATATTTAATTATTTTTTAATTTTTGCATTTATTTTTAATTTTTTAATACGATGAAATTTTATGTAGCGCTGTCTCCTTTTGTCCCCACTGAATGCATGTCCTCAAGGAAGTTAATTAAGCTCTCAGGGGCCGTGAGCATCTCTTCAAAATTAGGAAAAGAAATATCGTTCCTCCTCCACCTATGTCACCAGCCAACGCTGTGCAAAGAGCCAGCTGTGCAAGAAACAAGGGCCCCTGAAAAGAAATGCGCACAGTTTCCTTCAAGGAAAACAGAAGGCCTGTGGTTTTCTAAGTGACTACAAGGCCAGGAGTAAGGAGGCTGCCTCTATCTGTTTGGAAAAAAAAAATTCAATTGTGCTTCCTCCAATTTCTCCAAAACAGGAAGCTTTATCTCCTTCAACATAATACTGTTGGTGCAGACATAAATATTTACACACTCCTCTTGTGTAGCCAATAGGAAACTAGAGGGGGTCATAAAACGATAAGATGTTATAAGGAGATGACTACAAAATATTTTAATGAACAGATTGTTTAAAGCTCCTCTCAGAGTCAAGCAAACATTATTACTTAGGTCATGAAATTCTAGAAGAAAAAGACATCGCTGAGGGTACCAGCCGCGACACAGATGCAGGCGGATGCTATGCCTGTCCCGACTCGTAGGGAACAGTTTGAGAAGAAACGAAGGGACAGCAGCTCCCAGGGGCAGATGTGCTCGAGGGCAGTGGTTCTCAACTGGGCGTGACTTCTGGTTATAGCAACGGGGCTTGGGGAGCTGCCGGCAGCTATCGGTTAGAGGCCAGGGATTCTGCTCAACATCCCACAGTGCACAGGATAGCCCCCCACCCCAACACACACACACAACACAGAAGTAGGTGCTGCAGTTGAGAAATCCTGCAAGAGAGGAATTCAGAAGAGCCCAGGGTCTGAGTGGGCCCGAGACTTACCCCAGCAGGCAGAGACTCCCGCAGGAGAGCCAGGTAAGGGCGCCAGCATTATAGGACAGCTGAGTCACAATCATCTTGTTGCAGGAAGGACAACACATCTGGACTGGGCGGTCGAAAAAGGAGATGGGCTGCTGCACGTAGACTGTCTGCACAGCAACTGATGGAAAGGAACAGAACAAACTGGCTGATCACCAAACAAAGCCGGCACTCATGGACTGACAAAAAAGTAGAGGGAGGGTCTTGACAGATACTTGCACACCCACGTTCACAGCAGAACCATTCACAGGCACCAAAAGGTGTCCGTCAATGAATGAACGGATAAACAAAATGTGGTCCATCCATACAATGGATTATTACTTAGCCCTAAAAAGGAAGGAAATTCTGACACATTCTTACAACACGGATGGACCTTGAGGGCATTATACTAAGTGAAATAAGCCAGTCACAAAAAGGCAAGCACTATGATTTCACGTGTATGAGGCACCTAGAGCATCCAGATTCATAGAGGTAAGCAGAATGGTGGTTGCCGGGGGCTGGGGTAGAAGGGAATAGGGTGTTACCATTTAGAGGGCAAAGAGTTTGTTTTGTGAAATGTAAAGAGTTCTGGAGATGGAAGATGGTGGTGACTGCACAAAAATGTGAATGGACTTCATGCCACTGAACTGTACACTTAGAAACGCTTAGGGTGATCAATTTTATGTTGTATGTATTTTGCCACAATAAACAAAACTGAGGAGGAAAAATGACAAAAATGGAAGAAGAAAAAACAATGGCAGATTTCCATAATCATCATTTGAGGGTCTCCCTAAACTTATACACACACACACACACACACACACACACGAGATAGGAAAAAGGACTGTGTGTTCCTGGAAGAGAGACTTGGCCCAGCTCCACCAGGTTTTCAAACTCGACTCTCCATGGGCTCGAGTGGGGAGCTTACTGAAAAGAATGCAGATTCCTGGACCCTGCCCCCAAGACAGTCTGATTCAGCAGGTCTGGGGCAGGGTCCCCAGACCACTTTTTAAGCTCTTAAATGGTTCTGCGAAGGTGGTCTACAGATGGTAATTTCAGGAACAGTGATGTGATGGGTTTTTAGCCCCAATGTTCTTCATCTATAGATTAGTGGTTTCCAGGAACCAGGAGGAGGCGGGATCGGGGAGTGACTGCTAATAGGTATGGGGTTCCTTTCAGGGGTAATGACAATATTCTGGACTCAGTGATGATGGCTGCACAACTCTGTGACTAATGCCAAAACCACGGAATTGTATACTCTAAAAAAGTGAACTTTACGGTATGGGGATCCTATCTCAACAAAGCTGCTATTAAATTAAAACAAAAACAAAAACAAAAACGGAATAATGGAGTTGTCGCTAGGATTGGATGAGACCAACATGACAAAGAACTTCACCCATGCCTGGTACGGAGTGAATCCTGCATAAACAATGCCTTCATTTCACACAATTTCCTTAATAAACTCCAATGCCTGGCGATAAGGCTGGCATTTACCAAGCCAGGGGATACTGGCCTGGTTCTTTATGACAAGTCAGGGGATGTGCTGATACATGCAACGTGTATATAAAATCAGGCTAAAAAGAGAAAACTATGTGAAAAACACACGCAGACATTCAAAAGCATCAGGAGAGCACGCAGGGTGATGGGAACCTGGAGCTTAGCATGCTCTGTTTTTTGGCAAAGCTGTTTAAGCTCGTAGCTCTGTCAGAATGACTTCCTTCTGTTCCTTTTTTATGTTGTTGAAATGCCATTTCTATGACCTATGTATTAGGGGACACTAACTACCACCCAGAGCTAACCAGACAATGTTCCTAGAAAGACCTGGACAGATCCCCCCACCCCAACCCCTGCAGAAGAGCAGTATCAGAGCATAATTTAGCACTTACATGTACATTTTAATAAGTTCTTTTTTTTTTTTGGTGCAAGAATGAGTTATTTATTGATCAGAGTGTGATCTAAAATACTCTGAAGTCATTATCTTATCCTCTTTCATCTCAAGGGGTCCGAGTTACTTGAGCTCAATGACAACAGTTCATGTTTAGCCAATGATTACTCACAGAACTTTATTTAATCTTAACAGACCCCGGATGTAGGTATTTGACGAGCCCATTTGACAGATGGGGAAACTGAAGCACAGGGCAGTTAGGTGAAGCCAGGCAGCCTGACTCACGGGTCCACTCTCTGAGCTGGCTATCTCCTCCTGAGCTGCTTGTGATTCTGAATCAGATTTGCACCTGGACAGCGGGAGGTACCAAGGTGCGAGGCCCTGAAGAAGTAGCTGGAAGGCGAGGGAGTCACTTGTGCTAAAGGTGGGCAGGGGTGGGTTTCAGCTCACCCATTCCTCATTCACGGCTGCTTCATCCCCCTTCCTACTCCAGCTCTGGCCTCGGGGCAGGGGTTCTCCCGCCGGGAGCCGTCAAAAGTAAATTCCCATTCCCAAATTCCTCTGGGACAGTTGGTTGTGCCTCTGCGTTAAGTGCCAAAGGATTGGTCTCTGGTGGACTTGGGAAAGCTCATCCAACTGTACTTGACTATGGAAGAGCCATAAGCCTCACTGACATGGAACCTAAAAGACCAGATGTGAAATTTCAAGACAAGGGGGAAAGTTGGACCGACTGGCACTTCACTTAGCCCCTCTGCAAGAGTCACTCTGGCTGCTCTCCTGACTCTGACGGAGAACCACGGAGAAGCTGGGAGGCTGTACGTACTTGCATTGGGGTTGGGGACAGGCACTGGCTGGGTATAGTACGCAGGAGGATTCATGCCCTTCCCATCCGGGCCCGTCATGAGCCCCGTGGCTGGCCCGGGCACGGGAGCTGGAGGCGAGGGGTAGTAACTGTTAACAGCCACTGTCTCTTCATAGGACGGGGGTGCAGTTGGCCCCGAGGAAGGCCCAGCGGCCGCCTGGTAGGTTCCTGGAGCAGACATTTTTACCTAAAGCAAAACCAGAAGATACCAGGTCAGAAATTCAACTGACATCTCTCCCTCTCTCTTTCTCACGCTAAATCTTTCATTTACTCCCTAACAAAATGAAAATCTGAGGAAATCACCTGTCCAAAAGCCAGAAAAGGAGTTTACATCCCTTCCAGCTCCAAGAATCATAATTTTAACAAGAGACTCCCTACATAAAGATAAAAGAGATGATGATGACGAAAGAAAACCACCCAAACCTAGAAAATCCCAAGGGCAACATTAGCCAAATTTGAGCAGAAGTTTTTTCACACTTGAAACCATCACCCGACTGAGACCTCTCTTTCACATCTAGTCTTTCTTTTCTTTTCTTTCTTTTTCTTTTTATTAACTGCTGCAATTTTTACTAACAGTGTTTCAGGTGACAGAAAAGACAGACATTCAAAACCCAACCACAAATTATGGCAAATGTAAGAGTGAGCAAAACAAGCCAGATGCCGAAAAATGCACACTGTGTGGTGCCATCTACCTGAAGTCCAGAAACAGGCAAAAGGAATCTTGGGGCTAGAAGACAAGAAAGTGGTTACTCTTGGGAGGGGAAGCTGAGTCTGGAAGTGGGCAGGAGAAGGGCAGTCATGATCTCTTTCTTCATCTGGGGGTGGTTATATAGGAATGTCCAGTTTGTAAAAATATGAGTTGTACAATTAAGTTATGTGCACTTTTCTGTAAATATGCTGTAGTTTAAAAAAAAAGTAAACATAGTGTCCACTGACAAATGAATAGATAAAGAAGATGTGGTATATTCATACAATGGAATACTACTCAGCCATAAAAAAGAACAAATACCATTTGCAGCAACATGGATGGATTTAGAGATTATCATATTAAGTGGAGTCAGTCAGACAGAGAAAGATAAATATCATATGATATCATGTACATGTGGAATCTAAAAAAATGATACAGGGGAAGTGTATAGCTCAAGTGTTAGAGCACATGCTTAGCATGCACAAGGTCCTGGATTCAATCCCCCTGGTACTCCTCAAAAATAAATGGATAAATAAACCTAATTACCTCCTCACCCCAAAAAAATTTTTTAAATGATGCAAATGAAATTATTTACAAAATGGAAACAGATTCACAGACATAGAAAACACACTTACGGTTACCAAAGGGGACGGAAGATGGGGATAAATTAGGAGTTTGGATTAACAGATACAGACTACTATATATAAAGCGGATAAATAACAAAGTCCTACTGTATAGCATGGGCACTAAATTCAATATCATGTAATAAACTATAATGGAAAAGAATCTGAAAAGGTGTATATTTTAAAATTTTTACTGTATTTTAAAAATTATATACATATATAACTTAATCGCTTTGCTGTACACCTGGAACTAACACAACATTGTAAATCAACTGTACTTCAATTAAAAAGAAAAAAATTTAACTGGCATTTATAACCAATAAAATCAACATGAAAACACACACACACACACATACACAGAGATACACATACACCAGCAAGTTCCCATTTTGAAAAATGAGAATCAGAGCAGCCAGGCACATATTTTCTTTTGTGAAGGCAAAGAAAGGGTTTTTTTTTTCCCTCCAGCAAAGCTGATGCCCGCCTGGAATTACATGGCCTGGACCCAGGGTGTGTTCCTGTCTGCGGTCCCATGCTCAGCAGCCCCCGGGGCAGCCGGAGAAGGACACAGTGCCGTCCTTTGTCTGGTTCTGTTTTTCCAACGGGGCAGGGCTAACGCTGCGCTAGGAGATCCATTCAAACCTAGTCTCAGGAGAAACAGGCATGAGCTCCGAGG